CCCTTCATATATATGTATACACCACACCAGATTCACATAAGCAGTGCATGCTTTAATTGCTTATTCAAGAATTCTCCATCAGTACCTCTTCTAATGAAGCTCTAAACCTGTTACAGTAACGAGTCACATGTCATAAAGGAATTTCTCCAAGTCAAAATAGTAAAGACAACACCATTCAAGAGAAAATTAGGACAGATATAAAAAGTGAGGAAAGAAGATTCAGACAAAATATTTTTCTGTACAATTCAGTGTGCATAATTCTAGATCCCAGATATGATTTATGTTTTGCGATTAAAGTTCCGGTGGATTGACTCCAAGCATCAGCTAAGCCCCACAGCAGGACAGGGTAAAGAACAGGAAGGGCAAAAGTCAGAAAGATTGTGGGTTAAGATAAAAAAAGTTTAATGAGTGAAGGAAAGAGGGGGAACTCTCCACCCCAAAGCCACCATGTGATGCAAAAGCAGTCACCTTTTCCCACAAGCAGACTGATGCCCAGCCAGTCCCCGAGCAATGGCTACCTTCCTGTAAAGCCTCTTCCCAGCAGTGAAGACAGACAAATCCATCCCAGCCAGACCTAGTACAAAGTTCATAGTGTATCAGTCCATACCATCTACATCATATTGCCTGATACTTTCATAAGAACATGCTGTATCACTTTTTAAGATGCCTTTGGTTCTGCTTCAATGGATCACATATATATTTTATGCTGAACAGTCTGTACTTATTTGTACTTATTGTGGTCAATACAGTACAATACATTTCTCTATAGCTCCTAGTGATCTCTTGCAGCATCCCAGAAAACCAATAGATTTCAAGATGTTCATTTAGTCTGATTTTGATTTTAGTCTGATTTTGAAATGCTTAATGACTTTTCCTACCATGTTTTGAGAGCTGATATACTTCATCTGGTCATGTGGCCATCAGAAGTGTGCGTACTGACTTACCACCTGATGTGCAGCCTCGGATAACCACAATGCATTGGCTTGTAAAGCACTGAGAAAGCATCAGAAACATTACTCTGAGCTTTCCATGCAGTCCCGTACATGTGGATCCTACTTTTAAATTGATATATACTGTAACAAAACCCAACTGGTATTTTTACTATTGGTAAAATATATTTTGCTGCACTCTTAATTGTGATAAATTGTGAGACCGAGACATATTTCCATGTTCTTTTGTTCAGAGGCATTTAGCTATATATATTTACAGCTTCACAAATGATACTGATAGGTATCATTGAAAGATAATTTGTGATAAATGCAGTTATAAATCTACACAACAAAAATTAATTGAGTCTGTCTTTTGTTTTATACTCTTCATCTACAGCAGTCTTTTGCATCTTAAAGTGTATTTATCTATTAAGAAAATGATGCAAGTTTTAAAAAAGAAAATAAAAAGTTTGTATGATTAAAATTGTCTTTTATTTTGTCCTATTTTATTTTATATGGATAAGTGATCACAGGTCACTTAGTGATAACTAAGTGAACAGATTAACCTCCTGCTATTTGAATCTAAGGTACAAAGTAAATGTCATTATATTTACCACAGAAGTATCAGAGACCACATATTTCATAATGATGTAGAGTGTTGATATGCATGTTAATCCCTCGAGCTCATTAGCCACACGTATGGGAGGATGGACATTGATAAATAGTTGCTAGCCTGAAAAGAATTACTCATTATTTTCTCTCATTTTCTTCATTAGAGTTCCTGGGGAATCTACATCATGAAGAATGAGAGGAAAAAGCACTTTTCATTTCTTCAGGAGCACGTCCTGTATTTCATGAAAGTGTTGCAATTTATAATTAAAAGTCAGAAAGATTCAAGATGTGTATTTTCATAAATTTACGATTGAAGCGCTAATGTTCAGCCATCATTCAACAAAAGTAATCCTTTTTGTGTGCACCATTATATTCTCATTTTTATGACTGGTAGAGATATGCAATCAGAAAAAATTACATCAATTCTGTGACTTTTCTGTTGAATGAAGATATGCTCTTAGTGTTCAGACTGCACATTTAGCAGACAAGGTACCTGTCATCAGTGCATACTCATGGATGGTTTTTATCTTAAAAGACAATTTTTGGTGAAAGGACACAAGCTGAAATGGATATGAAACAAAAGCACCTCCCTTTTGGGGACAGGCTGAGAGAGTTGGGGGGTTCAGCTGGAGAAGAGAAGGCTCCGAGGAGACCTTAGAGCGGCCTCCCAGGGCTGAAAGGGGCTGCAGGAAAGGGGGGAAGGACTCGTCATCAGGGGGTGTAGGGATAGGATGAGGGGTAATGGCTATAAGCTGACAGAGGGGAGACTTAGATTAGATATAAGGAAGAAATTCTTCCCTGTGAAGGTGGTGAGGCCCTGGCACAGGTTTCCCAGAGAAGCTGTGGCTGCCCCCTCCCTGGAAGGGTTCAAGGGCAGGCTGGACGGGGCTTTGGGCAGCCTGAGCTGGTGGAAGTTGTCCCTGCCCGGGGAAGGGGGGTGGAACTAGATGATATTTAAGGTCCCTTCCAACCCAAACTGTTCCATGATTCTATGATGATATCTATGGGCTTATTCTGGATCAATAAGCAGTAAACCACTGAAGCTCCATCACTCACAGGTACAAAAACCTTAATTTTTAAAATAAAATCTCAGTTTAAAATCAGGAGCAAATGGCTTTTCCATGTGCTACTTTAACCTCTAGGCTTCTTCAGCAATCAAAATGATACAGTTAATGAAACTAAGAAATTTTGGTGAAATTTTTGTGCAGCAAATAAAGTGAAGAGAGGTGAGAGTGTGAGCAAGCACTGGTCCTGCTTTGGTATATCTGCTGGAAACCTCATTGTGGGTCTGTGCTGCAGTCACTGTTTATCTTTTTGGAAATTAATTTGCCTGTGCAGGAGTGGAGAAGAGAGGATAAGGATTGATGAATATCCCAAGAAATTTGACTTAAAGGAAATGAAATTGTCAGTTTACATTTCTGGTGCTCATTCAGAGACCAGTAAGATACAAGAATATTTTTAGACTCATTCAAACCTTTGCTTTTTTATCTGAAAGAACAAAGGGAACACATTGAAGGGAGCACAGCACCACAGCTGATTTTGCCAGAAACAAACTTACCTACCATAAAGACCGCACAAATGAATCCAGGAAAATGCCACATCATATCTCTGCTCCGCATTTGCTGCTAGCGAGGCTGAGATAAGTTGTATCTCCTTCAAGGTGTTGCAATATAAGTGCTTCAAAAATGACCTCATTTTTCAAAAGTTTTATTGTTAAGTTTGAAGACTAGACAAGGTCATACCGGTTTTACATCGTTCTACATGATTTAAGTATATACAAAACCATTTAAATATTACACAGCTTGAAAGGTTGCAAAGGTCATTGTGTCTGAGATACTTCTGTACTTACTGACACATCAGAAGCCAGCACTGAATATTATAGTTCATATTTGTTGTATAGCAAAGATACACTCATTTAGTATCCTTAGTCTTCAAAACTGACACGAATTTGTATGCAGCCATTCCAAAAGAGAAAGTCAACCTCAAACCCAGAGCCAGTTAACGTGATAAGCCCTTAACAGAACACAGATAACACGGAGCCTTGTGCCGGTGCTTTATTTCCTAGGCTATAAACGTAGCACTTACAGAGCTACAGAAAGGTGAAGTCTGCCTACAAATACTTAACCGATTCAGGGTGAAATTTAATTAGGAGAACATTTTTAGTCTTGTTCAATGCCATTGTTACCATTAATACAGAAGTCAAGGATCATTTTGGGGTGTTTCTCCTTCCCCTCTTAAAGGGACATATCATGTCCTGCACTTATTTCTGGTTTTGGAATGCCAGCTGCTTTCACTGTGAGAGTACAGTCGTGTTAATTTATAACCCGTCCCTCATGTCAATGGTGTTCACCAAGACAAGAAAATAAAATTGAAGAGAAAAGGTTTAATTCTAGACCGTAATCTGATTCTCATCTGTTTTGTTAAATCTGAAGTATTCCACAGAAATCAAGAGTTATTTCAGACATACACTGCTGACACTGGGCGCAGAATTGGGTACTATGGCTGCACAGTGTCATTTAAAGAAAGCTGCTTGGTAGCTAAGGAATAATTTCATTAGGCAAAGCCCCACTAAGTTGGTTGAAATTGTAAGGGCATCACATATATGATTCTTTTATAAATCATCACAGAGTGTTATTACAACATATGGAGTTTCTTTGCAGGTTGTTAAGACTGCTGGCAGATGAAATCTGACATAGGACTAAGGATGAAAATAACTCTAAAATAATGCCAAATAAAATTCCTGTCTTAGATATCATGACAACACTTTTCATATGCAGGTGAATAGACAATAGATAAATTACTAAACCAAGGAAGATTAATTCAGAACCAAAACTGAGGTTGCAAAAGATGAATAACATGAAAAAAAAAATCACTTAAGAACACAGAATAAATATTTTAAAATAACATTTAAACAAGTTGGTAAACTAGGGACCTTAATTTTCTGAAATGGCCTTCCTTATTTTGGGTACAGTCGACTAATGAAATAGTTACATGCTTTTCTTCATATCTGTAGTTAAATTCAGAGCCAATGTTCTTCCACAACAGGAAAATGTTTTTGGACCTCTTTAAATATTGTGTGTGTCCTGCAGATATAATTTTTCTTTTTTTTTTTTTTAATTTTAATTTTTTTTGTAGAGCCTAAAGTGCAAAACATGGGCAGTAGGTATTTAGGAATACTCTTATCCTCCATTATTCAGATTTTTTTTTTTTTTTTCTCTTTAGAAATACCATCATGATTGACTTTCTCTTTAAAATCACTCACTATGCTTGAAGACCACTCCATATATACATCATTAAGGAATGCTGTTAACACAGTTACAGACAAGACAGTAACAGTCTAGTGGCTTTTTTTTTTTTTTTTTTTTGAGTCATTCCTATTGTGTCTTTTAGCAC